TATATATATGGAGAGAGATCTGAGAAATCAAGTATGTTTGGCCAAACTAACTACTAATATTTTATTTTTTAACGAAGAGAAGTAGTTTGCTAAAAATTGTTTGTGTAGAAGTACACAACAAAAATAATTGAAAACTTTTAAAATATATAAAATAAAAAAAATTAAAAATTAATAACTATCAAAAACTGCTTGAAGTTGCTTTTGGTTTAGACATTTTGTGCTTGAAATTAAAGTTTAAGCCGATAGTATCGACCAAAAGTTATTCTTTAAATCGGTATCTTTTAAGGATAAAAATTAATAAACGCTATCAAAAACTCGCTATAAACATATAGACGCACATAAATAAAGTAAATGAAATAAATCTAATACGTGTATATTTTTTTTCTAGACGTGTAGTCGTGCATGTAGGCACTTCGTCTAAATTTGATTATTAGTTATTCATTGTTGAAATATTTAAGTAAACTAAACCGATAGTTGATTATTATTTAATAATTTTGTGTTTATGTATGTCATCAGTTATCACGTTATGACATTTCATCGCTATATTAAATTATTATTCTGAAGAAATTAATCAAAGATATGGACATCTATAGTTTATCCGATTTCATGATATCATATAAAAAACAAAATTGAGTGGAAGAACACTATAAATTTTTTAAGATATCTGGATGAAAGAAAATTATTATTATTTAATGACATTATATATATTATATAAAATAAAATCTTTTATAATATTCTACAGATCTTCATATTTGTTTTGTTTGAAGTTACCATTAAAGAAAGGTAAATGGCACATCTAATATTTTTTTTAAAAGACAAAATTGTAAAAATGGTCTTTGTTGTTAAAATTCAGAGTTTGGTCAAAAAAGATTGATGATGTACTAGTTGTCAAATTTTAGATACATTTGTAGTTTTGGTCAATATATAGTTGTCATTTTTGTATGATTTACCCAACACGAAATAACCAACACTACTAGAAAAACAATCTTTTATGACGCTTATTGCGCGTCATAAAACGCTCAGACGACGCGCAAATACGCGTCAAGGAAGGCCCTATCATAAAGAGAGACGACGCACTTTTGTGCGTCGTCTATAGACGATGCGCATTTACGACGCGCGGTTATGACACTCAATGCGTATCAACGAAGGCCCTGTCATAAAGAAAGACAACACGCATTTGCGTGTCGTAACCTTACGACGCGCATGTTTATGACACACAATGCGTATCAAGGAAACCCCTGTCAAGAAAGGCCATGTCATAAATGAAGACGACACACATTTTTGTGTATCGTAATTTTTTTTTTATAAAAAAATTATTTATAGATTTACTGATTTTCAAATTAAATTTACATTTCATGTCTCATAATAGAAAATAAAATATCATATACAAAAAATAGAATACATTGCACAAAAGTTAATGTCATACAAATAATTGTTCCATGAAAAGATAAAATAAATCACTAGACGTTGTAACAAAAATTTACAAACTAATAGTTCTAATAACCTAATGTGTGCCTCACTGTAAACAAGATATGTGCTGATTTTTTTAAATGTGTGTCTGACTTGTCTCCACTCTTCCTTAGTAACAGTATCTATATTGCCTGCAAAAAAAAACATAACTACAAAATAAGTGTTGTCTAGGATCAAGAATGTTGCCAAACTAGTAAGCATAATATAGGTATAAATATATAATACAACAAAAAGTTGAGTAATTTTACAAAACAATGTTATAAAGAATAATGACTTTACCATACCAGTAGCATCTATTGTTAAAGATGCAACAGGAAGCATAGGATTTGTATAGTCCCTGTGTAAGACATTAATCAAGGCCCAATGTTGCCATTGATCAAGGTGGATAGTGTAAGCACACTTACTAATTTTCTTTGAATTACCTATAAACATGTAGAAACATAATATTTAAATAAATAATGACATTTTATCTACAAATGACAAAATATGACCCTCAATAGTAGCATAAATGGTTTAGTTTCCTATAATATATATATATATATATATCATAAGTTGGCATCATGTTATTTGAGTATTTCCTCAATTGGTAAGCTACCAAATTAATTAAAAAATAAACAGAAGGAATTTCATTTGATTTGGTTGAAGGTTATTCACATGACCTTTATTAACTTCTAGTCTAAACTTCAAAACTATCAAAAACGGCAAGTTAGTTTCTATTATGACTTTCTAACTGTGGTTCAAAAGACAAAACAAGATTAAAGATATGGGCTCAAGTGTCATTCAAGGTCAACATACGTAGAAGTGTTTTTCTTTCGAGAAGCTCCAAGCTGGCACCAACACCTGTCCAGATGTGGCTCATCTTGTCATTCCCCTTTCCACTAAGTTCCACTAGTTTCTTGATAATAGCCTAGGACAAGAAAACTCATTCACACATCATCATGTACTTGGAAAGACTATGCATTGTGGGTGCTTATATCAAGGGTATTTTAGTAATTTGACTAAAGATTAAAAACAATCTAAGAGGGAAGTATGTATCTATACCCATATAAGGAAATTCCAAATAATAGTTTATATAGTTTCCAAAGTTTCACTGAATGACTTAATGGAATCTTGTCCAATGTCCAATCCCATCCAGCTATCTGGAATACTATTGGTCAGAATAATTTGTAATTGAACAACAACCACACCCTTTTATGTGCACTTCCTTAAACTCCTGCCACACCCAACAAAAACCAAACTAAAATTATCACAAACTGTGTAAAAACTCCTATTTAAGTAAAGATGTGAGAAAGTAAATTAGACTTATAACTTCAATAAGTGAATCATGTTGCCATAAAAGGGAAGTATATTTCCTTAGGAGATATCTTAAAGTCCTAAAAGAAAAGATATAGAACATTTATGAGATATAAATTTGCAGCAGGGAATAACTTTTCGTTATATTCTTATACATGATTTTGACAAAGAGTAAGATTTCAAATAGAATCTGAGGACAAACGGATGAAATATATGACTAGGTCTAAAGGAAAGATAACAAGAAAAAGGTAAAAAACCTGAAACATATCAAACATGTGATAAAAGGTAAAAGAACCTAAAGGGATGCATTCCTTCTAATACTAGCACGTGTGGAAACTAATGGGGAACTAGCTTGCTGGATCAAACGGTTGCTGAACCTGTAAGTAGTTTTCTCAAATACATCATTTTTTTAATTAATTAATTAATGGATTATAAATAAATACATAAATAAGGGTGGTAGGGTCTTACTACAAAGCTTGGGACATGAGAAGCATCGCGTGCCTGAGACTCGGTGTTTTCAAAAGATGTAAACCAAGAAGCAAGTGCTCTGATGTAGCAGCTAGCTCATGGATACTCCTTGTTGTACCTGTTAACCACAACAACAGAAAAAGCTTATGAAGAGCTTGGAAATAACCACCATTCATGTATTTATCAGTATCTGCAAAACAAAGATGGTCATTTAGTGTATCAATCAGAGTAGGAAAGAAACTTACAAACATCATTACCCATTCACCTGCTCTGCTTCATCTATTCAGGCAGTGCCTTATTTGTTTTTCTCTTTTCTTCTTCCTTTAGCTGTTTAAGCCTATTTTCATATTTCAAACCAAATTAATTCTAATATAAAAAATATAATATTTATAAAAAGGAAAAAAAAGACAAACCTAGCACCAGAGGACTCTGATGGTTGAGGAGAGGATTTTTTTGCACGCCACACACTTATTATTCCACCTACATTCTCATCCACAACAGGCTTTGCACCTCCCAATTTTCTTAACCATACTTGCTGAGTTGTACTCAACACATTGTTTGTAAACATAATAAATTAAAACATGTCAACTTAGTTTGATTATAAATTTATAATATAAAAATAATCGACATTTATAAAAACTGACCAATAAATTGACAATCCCGATGGGACAGATAGAGAAAAATAGCTAATCATGAGCGGAAGGAACTTGAAGATAGGAAGTGTGTTTTTCTGAGTTGGATCATGAGTCTGCATTTCCAAAACAAGAAATAAGATAAAAATTCATATAAATATAATATAAGTTATAAAAAATATAAAACTTATGTTTATATTCTCTCACTTGGGGTGACTTCATGATCTCCATTGATAGATACTAAGAAAGAACAATAAGTACAGGTAATACTAGGTAGGCTGCTGTGTCATAATACCTGTAAGGTTGAATGTTAATATGAATAAAACAAAAGAAAACAAAATACTTATAACTAAAACATGTTTCGCCATTGCTTTTACACAGAAGAGGGATAGTATTCATGTTCTAGATCCTTCATCATAAAAAAATTGTATATAAAAATTATTCTTGTATATAATTTTTTGGTAAATCTTAGTTCTCACATATTACTGAGCTGCCTCTGCTTTCCTAGTGATGTATTACATATCTTCATCTGCCTACATCATGCAATTTGGTCTGATTAAGACAAAATGATATCAAAATGACATAAATGTATGATTTTCTTTTATCCTACTAAACATACCTCATACGCATCACTGATCTCTTTAAACTTTTCAGTAGCTCCTGGTTGCTTATTGACATCTGGATGATACTAAAAAAAAGAAATAAAAGAATATATTATACTTCTAAGCAACATAAACATAGTTTCATGATCAATCTTGAGGTAATAACTAATAAGTAACAACTTGTCACTAGAAAATCGGACTCAACAGCTACATAATCATGAAATTCAGTTACATCAAAACAATGCAAATTACAAATGCACAAATTATTCTTATTGTTTTCAAAATTGGAAAACTATCATCACAACCACAAAATAATACCATATGTTTTATAATTAGGATGCTTCAATAATCTTTTTATATTTTGGGACCGTAGCAAACCACCATCTGTAAGTCCCTAAATCAAGTTAACAAAAAGGAAATCAGCCTCACCAAGAATGAAAATGCATCAGCATTCTATCATATTGGATGAGTTGCTGAAAGATACACCAACACACAAATTCGCCTCTGTTTGGTTTGAATGGAGAAAGACAAAGTTTTATCCTACTTATTACAGTGAACTCATCCGCCTTGCTGCCCTTTACAAGTAAGCAACTTTCATGTCTCAAACTGTTTCTGTTTAGTGCTTCTTCAGTACCATTAATGGATTTTCCTTTTTATTTTTTTTATCAGATATGGAGGGATCTATCTTGATTCTGGCAATAAAGTTTTGAGACCACTTCATTCTTTATCCAATACAGTGGGATTTGATGATTATTCATTAGGAAGTCACTTAAATGGAGTAGTGATGGAATTTAGAAAGCACAGGCAACAAATTAACTAAATGTTTATTTTTGTTTTTATATATGATAATGTTTGGAAAATTATTGTATACAGTCCGTTTATAATCAAGTATTTGAAGGTGTTATATGCAAGTTATGATGAAACCAACTTAAGGAGGAATGGAGCTGATCTTTTGAGCAGAGTAAGGATAAAGTTTCTTCATGAAGAAAACTTAAATTAGGTTTAGGCTGTAAACTTGACATGAAGAAAATATATAGTGGACAGTCATAAGATGGTAACGAGCACCATGAAAACCACTACAACTACCATCTGTGCAACCATAACAACCGGAGCAACAAAGAAAGCATACCTTAGTTCAATCCGAGCCACGGCTTGTCAGAATGACAAAAAAATCACGAGCAACATCTTCGGCGTTGTGTGGGATGAGAAGTTGTAAGGCCCTAAATCGTCGGCTCTAGGATAGAAGTAGATGGAGCAGGTAAGTTCTTCATACTTTCCAATTGGATGTCGCGAATTCAGATTCCAGCGGGTGCAGGTGAATGAAATTGCTGTCGATTTCTTCTTGGTGTTTCAATGGCGTCGGGAGGAACATCGTCTTATGATTGGTCATCAATCGGGAAATTTTGTATGTTTTTTGTTCTGATTTTTTTGGGTGTTTTGCTTTTTCGGGGATTTGTTCCCAGGTGAACGGTGTAACACCGTAAATTTCAAAACAAAATTTTCAAATTTTTATAAAACATAATTCATTTAATATTCAGAAAACAACCATATTTAATCATTCAATCCAAGTAATACACAATCCCAAGATCTCAAAATCATAAATCCCGTGCGTGTGTACTGATCAAGCCAGCGCCTTTCCGCGATCGTCACTAGTACCTGAAACAAATAACATCAAACACTGTAAGCACAAAGCTTAGTGAGTTCCCCAAAATCCCACATATAACACATATTAGCCACTCGAGGCTATAACTCTATGGGTCCGTGCACCCAACTTTGTGAACCCTCAGGTTCTAACTCTGTGAACCTTACGGTTCTAGCTCTGTAAACATGCACAACATAAATCACATAGAAATAATGCAGTACAACACATAACATACATAGCATACAAATACCCTGTCACATAACTCTGGTTACCTACTCAAGGTAAGGTATAGTGAGAAGACTTACCTCGCGTGTCTCGGTAATTCATAAATCCTGAAATCACTAGTGCTCGATCTCCCGAGCTATAGTCCTCCTATAAAACAATACATCTCTAATTAACACTTTCCCAAATAAGGTTGACTACCCCTTAACAAGTCAACATAGGTCAACGGTGGTCAATGGTCAACGTTCAACTTTGACCGGGCTCGGCGAGTGCACTATAACGACTCGACGAGTCTAAGCGCATACACTGATTTCCCTGGGATCCTCTCTTGACACGCCGAGTATTCTCCTAACTCGATGAGTTCCACCTGGCATGAGTTGTGGGCCCACCACGACTCAACTCGCCGAGTATCAAGAACAACTCGGCGAGTCCAGCTTGACTCAGTCCACCTGTCAACCCACTCTGACTCTCCCTGACTCACTGAGTCAAACCCTCAACTCAGCAAGACCACTCGCTGTGTGGTCTGGGCAATATTCATGCTACTCGCCGAGTCTGTTCTTCGGACTCGGCGAGTCCATGCCATGCAATGACTCAAACTTGCTCATAAGGTCAGATATTAACTCATAGATCCAGTCCTTCCAAGCTTATTTAGCACATAAAGTCACTATCTTGATGTACATACAACATCTATATGACCATATATGATGATTTTGTCCCAAATACCACAACTCAAGGTCATAATCTCCATTGCTCTTCATAAAGCTTGATGAGTGAGGCTCTCTGGACCTCTATGGATCCAGATCCAAAGCCTCAACATTAGAAAGGAACTATTTGGCATCAAATCAACCCAATAAAGGCCATAAGAAACCCTAAATCCCATTATACTTCACAAAATAGAAGATGAGCCGAAATCATACCTCTAGTTCGATAATCTAAGCTTCAAATCCACAGTATAGCAACCTCCTTTGCTTCCTCTTGGCTAGAACCTCCTTCTTCTTTGCTTAATAACACACAAAGGTCAAGAAATGCTTCCTTTCTCTCTCAAAACGTTCCAACACTCTAGGGTTTCTCTCTATGGATTGGTGAGCACAAATGACGGCCATAAGGCCCTTTAAATAGGTCTCAAACCCCGGGAATTAGGGTTTCATCACACAGCGTGGACTCGCCGAGTCCGGACGCGAACCCGTGCCCAATACCGCGATCCTACTCGACGAGTTTGAGCTCCAACTCGCCGAGTCCACTCACAACTTCCAAAAATAAACCAATAATAAATACCTAGAAATTCCTGGCTGTTACAATTCTCCCCCACTAGAACTAGACTTTGCCCTCGAAGTCTTACTCTGCAAATAACTCCGGATGTTGCTCTCGCATCTCACGCTCTGGTTCCCACGTCATCTCGGACCCCTTCCGATGCTGCCACTGAACCAAAACCAACAGTACCTCCTTGTTTCTCAGAACTTTGATTTTCCGATCTCTGATGGCTACTGGTCTCTCAGCATAATTCAGGCTCGCATCCACCTGAATATCCTCTAATGGAACCAGTGCCGACTCATCGGCTATACAGTTCCGCAATTGCGACACATGGAAAATGTCATGAATCATCCCCAACTCTGTTGGCAAATCCAAACGATAGGCTACCCTGCCTACCCTCGCGACTACCTGAAATGGTCCGATATATCGGGGCCCCAACTTGCCCCTCTTCCTGAATTGGATCACTCCCTTCCAAGGAGAGACCTTCAGGAGCACAAAATCACCGACCTGGAACTCAAGTTCGGACCGGCGTCTGTCCGCATAACTCTTCTGTCGACTTTGGGCAGTCAATAACCTCTGTTTGACCTGCTGGATCTGCTCTGTCGTCTGAAGCACTATCTTAGTGTTGCCCATAATGCGCTGCCCGACTTCTCCCCAGCAAATGGGGGTCCGACACCTCCTCCTGTACAACAGCTCAAAGGGTGGCATATCGATGCTCGAATGATGGCTGTTGTTGTAAGAAAACTCATCCAAAGGCAAATACGCATCCCAACTTCCCCCGAAATCCAATACACATGCTCGGAGCATGTCCTCGAGGGTCTGAATCGTCCGCTCACTCTGTCCGTCTGTCTGGGGGGGTGATATGCGGTACTAAAATGCAGCCTAGTACCCAACTCCTCATGAAACTTCTTCCAGAATCTGGAAGTGAAACGCACATCCCGGTTGGAGACAATCGAGATCGGCACCCCATGCTGAGATACCACTTCCCTCACATATATCTCTGCTAACTTCTCTGCGGAAGAACTGTAACACCGTAAAATTCAAAACAAAATTTTCAATTTTTATAAAAACATAATTCCATCAATATTCATCAAACAACCATTTTAATTATCCAAAATAGGTCAATACAAAATCCCAAGATCACAATGTAAAACTCCGAGCGTGTGTGTGTACGGATCAAGCCAGCGCCTTCCCGCGATCGTCACTAGTACCTGAAACAATAACATCAACCACTGTAAGCACAAGGCTTAGTGAGTTCCCCAAATTACCACATATAACACATATTAGCCACTCGAGGCTATAACTCTGTGGGTCCGTGCACCCAAACTCTGTGAACCCTCAGGTTCTAGCTCTGATAAACATGCACTACATAAATCACATAGAAATAATGCAGTACAACACATAACATACATAGCATACAATACTCTGTCACATAACTCAGGTTACCTACTCAAGGTAATATAGTATAGTGAGAAGACTCACCTCGCGTATCTCGGTATCTCACGAATCCTGGAAATCCCTCGTGCTCGATCCTCCGAGCTCTAATCCTCCTATAACATTATATGCTTCTAATTAACACTTTGTATCTCTAAGGTTGACTATTTATAAGGAGTCAACACAGGTCAACTCTGGTCAACGGTCAACGGTCAACTCTGACCGGACTCGGCGAGTACCAAGGAGACTCGGCGAGTCTAGACATTTTCACCACTCTCTGAAATCCTCTTACTACACGTCGAGTATCCCCCCTTTTACTCGACGAGTTTCACCTGAATGAATCGCGGGGCCACCCCGACTCAACTCGCCGAGTCTCAAGGACAACTCGGCGAGTCCAGGTTTGACTCAGTCCACTCGTCACCCCCTCCAACTCACCCTGACTCACTGAGTCTACCCATGACTCGATTTGGACCACTCGCAGAGCAGTCCCAAGGCAATCTTCAAGCTACTCGCCGAGTCGGATGAAC